ATCGGTATACTTCGTCCAAACGTAAATTTTGTGAGCCGAACCAAAAGTATTATTTCATTTCTTGCTTCGGTTTCTATATATTATCTGCTGATCACGCTACGCATTGACTAGGCGATGCAATGATAATGAAAACCAATCAATCTTACAGTGTATATTTTCCGTAGAGCTAAAGTGTAGAAAACTCAAGGAAATACTTGTGTTGTCGCATTTAATAAAATAGGCGGACATCTCTGGGTGAACACGTAGTAATTGAGAAAAATGACTACAATAAAGCGTACAAAAAGCCGCAAAACAGCAAGAAATGTTACAAAAAATCACGCGGTTTCAACAGCGCGAATGAATCTGACCGTATGATTAACTAAAATTCCGAAAAGTGCTGCCGGGATCTGAAGACAAGAAGCATAGCGGTAAAGGTTGTGCTCCGAGATTCACACTCTGGGTGTTAGCCGTCTTTGAGGCTTCGGTGTTGTCGAAAAGAAGCGTCTTCTTCTGCCAGAAGCTGGCAGAACTCTGCAGGCAGCTTTGCTCGAAAGGAGGAGAGGCAGCGTCTTTTGAACGTTGCGCGCTGCTTGGTGTAGCGGCAGTGCTTTGGCAAACTTGATTCCACCAAGCGCAATTAATGCGCATCTTTCTGCGTCTGGCTGCGATAAGCGGTCGTACGATCGTTTCGATAAACACCTTTTCTCCTTATTTTTTGTTTTTTCTTTCTCTGCACTGTTTTCGTCTGGGGACTTCTCAACAAATGTCGATTGTTTCGCTGTTCCCTTGGAAGCGGCGTGGCACTCAATGCTACTAGGAAAGGAATGTTTTTCTTGCCTATATCGGTAGAGTTCATTAAGAACGCCACATTCGTGCGGGTACAGAAGTATAGCAAATTCACTCGCGTAAAGAGTTAATGGTTACCACCGTCGCCTTTTTCAAGCGAAGGAAAACTACGTTGATGTGATGGAAGCATTGAACAAGAAAACCACGTTCATAATGTTAAACATGCCTCAATAAAACGTCGACGGCTCCGTTAATAAATTTGTAAAATAAACAGCAAATGTATAGAATAACAATTTTATTCGAAATAGCAATACATTCTCGCAACACCTTTCATCACGAAAAAAAAAAACACTCGTCTTGAGTTGTTCGCACCACGTTTCTGGCTGTATTCACGAGCGTCGTGCACAACGAAAGCGCCGAAGGTGAGTTTTAAACCCGTGTGCGGCTCAAAGAGAAAAATACGGTGCCCTTGTTGTACAGTGGCAGCAAATTAAATCTTGACAGAAGGTAAAGGCAGCAGCGTAATATTCTGGATCTCTTATTGTGTAATATGAGAAAACACAGATTCTATAGAACGTGACAGCTTATGAAACCGAAGCAGTTTTTGTGCTGCCTCTCCCTTAAAATCAATTCCTCCGTTTTCTATCACACTTCCGAAACGTTTGTCTTCTACATATTTTTGCGACTTAAATGTTAACGTTGTAACACAAAAGAGCGCTGTCTTTACCAGATCTTCCATTAGTCTTCGTTTAAGTGATTTATCATTCAATGTTCATTGGCAAGGTGCGCTAGGCTAATGATTACTCTCCTGGGCGAAGAATGTCGTCGGTGTGTTAAGGTATTTTGGTTCTTTTAAGCGAACAAACGGGAAGTGTTTTGCAGAAGAAAAAAGCTGTCTGTCTGAAGAGAAAATCTGGTGCTCTAATAACCTCCGTGTTCGGATAAATTTCTATTACCAACCTCTCGAATCAAGTTTCTATTGCCGCTAACTGAAGAAACCACGTGGCGCTGCCAGAGTACGTTTTACCGGGAATTAACTTCGTGTAACCGGAGTCACTGCGTGGCCCCTCCGCTGTAAATTTTTTTGGTTTTTCAGGGAGCCTATTTGGTCCTTTATCATTTTATTTTGGAGTATTTCACGAACATATTTACTTCGTCCAGACGTAAATTTAGTGAGCTGAAACAGAAGTATTATTTTATTTCTTTGCATCGCTGTCTATATATTCTCTGCTGTTGATGCTACGCATTGGCTAGATGATGTAATTTCAATACTAACACAGCATTCTTACTGTGTATAATTTTCGTAGAGCTAAAGGACAGATAACTCAAGACAATGCTTGTGTTGTCTGATTTATCGAAATAGGCGGACATCTTTGGATGAAGACATGGCATTGGAGAAGAATGACAACAACCCAGCGTATAAAAAGCCGCGAAACAATTAACGAGAAATGTCATGATATATCACGTTAATTTAACAGCCTGTGTAAATGTCACCATATGAATAACAAAAATCGCGAAAAGTGCCGCCGGAATCCCAAGTCTTGCACGTATAGCGCTGAAGGTTGTGCGCCGAGATTGACGCTCTGGGTGCTTGCCGTCTTTGAGGCTTCTATGATCTCGAAAAGAAGTGTCTCGCCCCGCCGTGGTGGTCTAGTGGCTAAGGCACTCGGCTGCTGACCCGCAGGTAGCGGGTTCGATTCCCGGCTGTGGCGGCTGCATTTCCGATGGAGGCGGAAATGTTGTAGGCCCGTGTGCTCAGATTTGGGTGCACGTTGAAGAACCCCAGGAGGTCTATATTTCCGGAGTCCTCCACTACGGCGTCTCTCATAATCATATGGTGGTTTTGGGACGTTAAACCCCACAAATCAAAAGAAGTGTCTCCTACTTCCAGAAGCTGGCAGAACTCTGCAGGCACCCTTTCTTGAAAGAAGAAGGGGCAACGTCTTTTGAACGTGGCACGCTGCTTGGTCTAGCGGCAGTGCTTCGGCAAACTTGATTCCACCAAGCGCACATAATGCGCGTCATTCTGCGTCTAGCTGCGATAAGCGGCCGCGCGATCATTTTGATAAGCAGTTTACTCTCCTTATTTTTTGATTTTTTTGTTTCTCTGCACTGCTCTCGTCGGGAGACTTCCCAACAATTGTCAATTGTTTCGCAGTTCCCTTGGAAGCGGCGTCGGCACTCAATGCTACTAGCAAAGGCACATATTTCTTGCCTGTGTTCGTAGAGTTCATTAGGTAGGCCACTTTCATGCGGGTACAAAAGTGTAGCAAAGCCATTGTACAAAAGATGTTACGGAGAGCTACATGCCGCCAACACACTCAAGCTCGACCAGCGAAGCGAAATGGTTAGAGCAATGAAACGTGCAGTTACGACTACAGGCCACGCTACTCTGGAAACTACTCCTGCACTTTACCGGTACCACCCAGATGACGTTGTTGTCGGATGAATTTTCACAATTTAGAAGTTGCGAAAAGCGTACGCGTGTATTCATTTCGATATGCTTGTTGCGATTGCGCTGATGAAACAGGCAACATGCGAGTGCATTGAATTGCGAATAGTTAGTCTGCTCATGACTGTGACACAAATGCTACCTAATGGGAAGTGGAATGCTTTTGTTGCGTTGAAGAAGCCACACTATGAAGCTTTCAGCGCAAGTAATGACGACGGCTTAAATTGTTTGCAAACCATCGCCACGTTAAACATCAAGTCTCATGCAGCCACGACGGCGTAGTGGCACTAGTGCCGCTGTAGTGGGCACTAGTGCACCACTACAGCGGTAATTCTGTCCGAAGGTTCGGCACAAATGATCTCTGAGCACCATTCAGTTCACACGCTAATTCGAGTTAGCGCAGTTTTTTTTTTGTAGCACGCGCAGGATTATACGCAAGGCATCGTTGATGCATGGTCGATCATACGACACCACCACCCTTCACAATGCCGAGAAAAGAGGCAGCGAAAATTCAGCAGTTCATATTGTTTGCGAAAGTACCTTAATCCGATATACATTCATTCGACAATCAAGAGTTCATTCAGTGAAAGCGGCACGGAGCGTACGTCCGTGTGTCATATCTTTTCCTTTGTGAGTTCACGGGCTGATTATCTTCCCGCAGCCATGTTGAACTGTATGGTACGCCACCTATAGCCCATGGGCATATAGAATTATCCAAAATACTTGCGAAGGTTCTCAAGCATTGTAGCATGGTACACAGTAAATTTTTTTACACCCTTAAGGGTGTAAACTGGCTTGTCGCCAGAGGAACACCCTATGGGTGTTTTCAGATACACCCTACTGAAAGGGTGTTATGTGAACACCTTAGACGAAGGGTGTCGAGCAAAATGAAAATTGGGGTGTTAGGGTGTTTTGAACTGGAACACCCTTTTTCAAGGGTGTTGGAAAAGTGTGCACCCTCTGCTATATCGATAGGCGTGCGCTGCAGTGTTCCGCTTCAGGGCAGGGTGAAGTCAAAATATATGTGCACGAATATCCATGGCTATATATCGACTTCCACAGAGCACTAACGGGTATGCACGGCACATGTATGCACGGCAAATGCTAATATATATAGTACTCAAAGCAGTGTGCCTGTCTATTGCAGGATGCAGAGAATACACATATTTCAGCAACTTAATTTGCAGTTAAACCTGGCATGGCTAAATCAAGGTTCAGTCTTACCAAGTTAAAAATATTGTGCATATATAAAAACAACAGTGCTATGTAGATGCGCATCGCTCTCACTTTTAAAGAAATCTGTTTTTGATGCATTCTAGAAATAAATATGGATTTGTGCAGACTAAATATCAAGAACAAGTACCACAAGGCAGTTTTTCTCTAAATTATTTACATTTATTGCAAAATTTTACACATGCTTCTTGCAATGTGCATTATATCATAATGGCCCACATAATCTAATCTGACCATAACCAAGGCAGTTTAATGTTATTTAGATTAGCAAACAAGCAGCAAAAACTATTGCACAATAGTTCTGTCTTGCAGGAATGTAATATGGTAATAACTAAAAAGTTCAATGACCATGGGTTATTTGACAGCATGTGTGCCGGCTATGCAAAAGGAGAAACATGCATGACTTGTGAAGCAAATGCAAAATAAATTAATGCGGCACTAAAAACGGCAATAATAATCAATAAATTTTAAATCACTAATACAATCAAACATAAAAAATATGCAGTAAGGCAAATGTGCAAGAACATTACCATATGGCATTATCATATGACTATGTGGATTTTACGACAATGTTTAAGAACTTCACAACAACAGATCTTGGTGTTGTCTTTTCGAGCTCAAGAAAAAATCTTTCGAGGACGACAAGGGTGTTGAACGCTTTACAAGCATATTGAACATTGAACAACCAGTTTGCACACATAATTGCGACAAGTCCTTCCTCTGCATTAGTCACTTGAAAACACTTTGTCTGGTCTACCATCAGCCAGAAAAACTCTGCATCTTCAAGGACGGCCCCATTATAAGATACACATGGCGTTGCTGGCATGTCGTCCTGTATAGGCAAAGTGAAAATGCATAAGACTTCACTGAGTGGCTTACTTCAAATTCTGTACAGTTTAAAAAACAGGTTTAGAGCACTTTAAAAGACACAACTTGTGTTTTAGCATTACAGATGTGATATCTATCATTAACAACAATTTCAATGTGTGCAGCATAACTATGGTTTAACTGGGAGATTAAAACAATATAATGCATCTGACAAAATGAAGGGAACAATTGTAGTGTCACGAGTTCTCTAGGCAATCACAATGCAAAGCAATGAAAATTTATGCATCCATTCGACATACACAAACAAAAAGCTGGTATTCACTGCCCCTTAGCGTGCACAAAACTTGCCTCATTAGGGAATAGAGAAAAAAAGAAAGCCTCGTTCAAGAATTTCTTCAGACATATTTAGTTATTCTACATCAGCTAACAAAAATACCTGTGTTGTACTTGAAAAATAAAAATTTCTTCTTCCTGGAAAAATAAAAACATTCCTTGACACACACAAAAAAAGAACAACAGCAGGAGAAGGTGATGTAGATTGTACCATATATTTTCATCCTTGTTTCATCTTGAAATTTATTTTTACTTGCTGTAAAAATCTAATACAATGCAACTATAACGCTCATCACACTGTTATTCTATGTCTGTGTATTTAACCTGATACTCAGATTTTTTAAACCCGAGTATGGAGTGCATAAGGTTAAGGAGCACTCAAGAGTTTGAAAATGTCTCTTGTTTTGCAGACACAATAATGGTGGCGGAGGATAGCCTTGTGTAAATTTATTTAATGCACACTGCTTAAAAGCAAGACATGTCACAAAGCAAACAAAGCATAAAATGAGCCTGGGGCCTTGCATTCATATATTAAAGGAATCAAGTCACAAAACTAATTCGTGATTACACTGATCAGATAGAGAGAGAAAGTATATGCTAGCAGGAGTTACTGCTGTTTTGCAAAGCCACATGCGAAACAATGTTTAGAATGAAAAAAACACCATCTTGACGTAAAATGCAACCTAAAGTGAGTATTGCAAGGCATCATTTAAAGCATATGGACGCAAAATTGCAAATCAATGTCATGCACTTGAAAAAAAAATACTGGCTGACTGACCTTCACAATTCCTTCATTTACGTCGGTCACAGCTTACAGCCACAAAATTATGTTTTACACGTTATCTATCGCCATCTCTAAATTTGGTATTACAGTCAAACCCCTTTACGAGAGACACTGATATAAAAGACAAACGGGTATCCGAGACACCAGTGTGCCTACACTAAAATATGGGCGGATAAGAAAATGCGTACGAGGCACCATGCTTATAAGAGACATCTTGTATAAAAGACAAGAATTGCCATCCGAAGCACGCCTCTTATAAAGGGGTGTAACTGTACTGGCATTGCTTTGTCATAACTTGACCATTGGCTTCTGCTAGCAATAGTGAGTTCGCTTTGATGCAGTTTGTCTAAATTTTCATTTGCTAACATGCAGTGACATTAGCTACTCAGTGTTTCATATACTCACAGTCTCTTGCACAAATAAAATTGAGCATGCTGACCGTTCCTTCACATTCTCACAGACGATTTTCAGAGCTACAAGTGCCATAATATCTGCAAAAAATAAAATTATGCAAGGCTATTTTATTTGACAGTAATAAATAATTTCAAACTGTCATAAGAGGCAATGAAGCATGCATTTCAACATCTAAAATGCTTTCTAAATAAGCCTGGGAAGGAGAAGATGCAAGCTTGTCATACAAAATTTGTAAAGAAGCGGCATATCTCAAGAAATTGGCTAGAAGGGTAATGTGTTGACTTCAATCACAATTGTATAAAACACAAATGTGATAGCCAGCTTTCACAGAACACGTGAAAACATATTCTTCATTGGAATGAATCTGGTAATTACACTTTCTTTGAATATAGATTAATTCTAGCCGTGACTTCTACAAAGGAGGGCCATCAGCATACTGCTAAGTATTCCCTTGTGAGAAAAATATTCTTCGTGGCCCTAAGAAAGGGTGTTACATTTAGGAAAGGGCCAATGGTGCAAGTGTATTGAAATGTATCAAAAGGGTGAGTTGGGGCAGATAATGTGAGCTCATGGATTAAACAACAATAAAAACATAAAAAAGGACTCCATACAGGCATTTCTGATGTTCAGCTATCATATGTGTCTTTCATCCTTTATGCTGTTCAAAACAGTAAGTGTAAAGTTGGCAGTCTGTACAGGTTCATCCATTTATCAGATGTGTAGCACTTGAAAGAAAACATGGACAGCACACACAAATGAGCTCTGAAGTGCAAACTTAGGGCACATTGAAACAACTTTTCTTACAGGTTGTGATACATATGGCCTCCTAATATACAGCCTCCTGTGATTTGACCTCCTGTGATAAGTTAGCCTTCTGATACATATGGACGCAATTCCACTCTGCTAGCCTTTAAGTGAGGAGCTGCATAAAATCTCTTTTCACGAGAGCAAGGATGTGTGGCTGCCAACATTTCAAGTACCCTTGCATGTGTGTGCTGCGAACAGACTTTTCAGGGCCATTTTTCGTCAGCTTCTACAATTATTAGAAGCTGTGTCATTACAAGAAAGCAAGAAATGATACACAAATAAAGCAAACAATAAATTTGAAAGCACTGAATTTAAAAAAAAATCATAAAAGGTATACAAAAGGTAAGTAATACATAAGTACACAAACATGTTTTACTCTCTCTGCAGATTCATATTTTTAGAATGAAGATGAGCTATTTATGATAATGCAGATTGCAATTTTAAGTACCACAAAAAAAGTAGGTCAACACAAGAACATAGTGCTAAAAAAGTATGTGACCTGAGCAATGTAACTGATTGAATTCACTAGGAGTAAGCCAGAGTAACTCTGATTTAAGTGGCAAAAGCTCCTTGAACAGCTTGGGCTAGTTTCATGAAAGACAGGCAATTATTAGGATCCTTGATAGGGAAAACAATAAAATTATTTGCTGATAAATATTATAGTATACGGGAGAGTGCATGCATATTACATTGTGGAAAATTAACTATGGGGTTACCGAAAAACTGTAATCTAGTGTCTTACAAACCTAGCAAGTACGCAGTTATCCTTGTCTGTTGTCTTCCCTGTTTTTACACAATCATATTTCAAGTATCGAGTACAATCCAAGCTGAAATAAAATTCTCATGAACTCACGTCTTGTTCTCATCCTTTTGGGGTCCATTTGACGTGCTCTCTCCAACATTTGCCTCGTGTTTTCACTACAACGTATTTTCTTCATCACTGCCAATTGGGTTAATTTATCGATGGCTGTTGAAACCTTCCCGACTGGTTTTATGTCGGTCAGTCTTGTAAAGTCATTGCAAAACTGCATAGAATAAACAGCGAGCAACATTATAAAACAAAATGTCAGGCCTTTCATGATGAGCAGCCTCACCTACATAATTTTTCATATATTCTAAAATAGTTTCTGGCGGCACCCAAACAATCTCTCTACAAAATACAAATAGAACATTGCCCACTAAATATATGTCCTCGATCATGAAATAGACAACATTCAAATAACTATACTGTATGCGCTCAAAATCAAGTCCCCATGTTTTTCTTATCTTTACTGTCAGCTCGTTTTCATTGAAGCGGCGTCATACGAAGAAAACCGAGGCCTAATGTTTCCACTTTTTTCTTGCGTTTAGAGCAAGAGTCTTGTTCTGGCAGACTTGATGCCTTCAGAAAGTATGTGAGGGATTATTGGTAAACTGCAGCTATAGTACAAAAGTAATATGCCGCGGGGTGGCAGCAGGCAAAAGGTGTTCAACACTCATCGCAATAGCTTAGAGCATGCAGCACTGGCTAACACTCCCAAGTTTAAGTGCACACATCCACCCCAATCAAGTGTACAGGAGGAAGGCTGGCACTGTAGCTCGACTGGCAGAGCATTATATGAGTTACTTGAAGGTTGCAGGCTGGGACCCCAGTGGCAACAAGTTGTATTCTTACCCAGTTAAATTTCTTCACTTTTATACAATTACAGCAATACAGTTAATAAACCACAGATGTACCCTACCTAGAAGTAAAAAAAAGCCAACGTACTCGCTGAAAGTCCATCATATAGGGGTAGTTCTTTTTCACATCACGAATCGTTTTCGTCGCAACGTCAGGAAGCCTCTTCCCAGCTGTCAAGGCCATTAACTTTTCCACGAGTTGCTCATCCGGCAATAGTTTTTTGGTTTCCAAAACAAGTCGATCTTCATGTTTGGCAATACTGTCATCATCTTCTGCTGTTAGATCTGTCATGCTCACACTCTGCAATTGGAATCAAATTGCAAGCTATTGATGAGACTATTCATGCAGCTTTTACAAATGGGTGGGATTTTCTGTGAGCACGGTATTAAACTATCCTCACCATTTTCCCAGCTTTTTTTCCTTTGAAGCTCAGTGGTGCCTCCTGTTTTCTTTTGGGCACCGAATTTCTGGCGACTTGCTAACACATCTTCATGATCATCCAGCTTCCTTCTTAGGTTTTTATACTTATTGCAGAGGGCTACTTTCCAGGAGTCCTGTCAATTCGGAAAATGAAGGTGCTCAATATATTCATGTACACAATGATACATGCATACCTGGCCTTTTCAATGAATTTCTTTTCATAATAAATACACAAACTAAAATTCAAGCACTATAAGCCCACTGATATCAGTGACCTTAAAACTGCTCGTAATGAAATGCACTTTTGATAAATATATCCAAAGCATTCACTAGTTGCAAAACATTCACAAAATGTCTAGCAGCACTGCTTATTTATTAAAAAGTATGTCTCACAGATAAATGGCTGCTGCAATACCCTGACTAAAATTTAGTAGCACGCTCACTTATCCACTCGTCTGGTGATTTATGTAGCTGCAGGACATTTGAGCCTTAGTATTGTGTATGCGGCCATATACAAGACCCCAACTTGTTGCTACTCATGACAGCGGCTGCGAATAAGAAAAGTGACCACTACCAATTACACCCTACAGCATATGAAGCTTAAGACTATAATGACCCCACGAGTCCCAGCTAATGAAGAACCCTCTTTTTCTCTTTTGTTTTCGATTTTACATATGAATCTGTGCACAATAGTCTTTGTAATTGCAAGCATCATACAGTGTCACTTCAATGCAAAATTAGATTTTCAAAATTGAACATATGTTTTATTAAAGTGAATGTTGTTATATCAATGCATTGTGAAACACTGAAAAAAATGTACCCAAAACTGCTTTTAAATGTGATTAAGGAGCTTTAAGGAACATTAGGGAGCAATGTGATTAAGCGTAAGTATCACATATCTTACAGCATAACAGTACTTACGTGCCCACTTCCAATTACATCTTTCAGCTGTGGATACTTGTCAAGGAGCAGGGTTGTCACCTTACTGTAGAAACAACGCGTTGGATACCTGCAAGACAGTTGAGCATCGCAGCTTAAGCTGTCACAACTTGAAGTTTAACAGGGCAGGACACTATATTTAAATGTGCACCTCTGTGTACTCACAGTGTGTACTTGGCCATTTCATTGTGCAGGATGTCAATGATTTGCCTGAATGTAGAAGGTGTTAGCAGCGGAGAGCTTATCACTTTTTCATGGAGGGCACCAAGGCTGGGTAGTTTAAAATTTATGCCATCATTATCCCCTGAGCCGAGTGGGCTGTAAAAAATGTATCATGATGCAAATTACCGCAAGAAAAATAACACTTCGGGTAATCTTTCTGCTCATGCACACGTTAAAAATAAAGCCAGAAATTAGCAGATATTTGGGCTGAATAAAACAAACAACAAGAAACCTGCAGTAAAAGCAACACAAACACACTCAGGCCAAAAGTGCTAGACAGCAGTTTATATATCAGCAGTTTAAAAGTTTATGAGTCATTCACAATAAAACATCTAGCTTGTCTGCTTGATTTATAGTGTTCTCAAGGCTATAGAAGCTGAAAAAGTGAGTTTGCAATAGATATTAACAGTCAAGTTGAATGTCATGGCTGGATTGTTATTGCAATGCTTTAAGTGTGCCTCACATCTATAAAAACAGCTCAAGTAGTTTTGATCAAGGTGGAAGATAAGAAGAACATGACTAGAACATGCATTTCTTACTGCATATTCATTGCACTTCTGCAATTCCTGAATGCACATGTGTAAGTGTAGCTCTAAAATCGCCATGGCTTTGAGAAGACTGCAAGTCATTAACCAATCAGTGTTATTATCTTCTAATAATGCTTTTGATTAGAAAGTTATACAATTAAAAAATTACATTATTTGAAATATTTCAACAGAATATGACTTTGTAATAATACATGCCAAATGAACACAAATATTTATATAGCCACGAGTAATGTTGCAAAGTTTATGTAATAAGTTTTTCAAGTTTATTTAAAGGATTAAGCTATGATGACAAGATCAACACATAGGCACTAGTGTGACTGGTGAACAGCTGTTGTTACTGTCTAGAGAAATGGTGACGTACATTCGTGTCACAGCTCTCTAATTATACCAAACAGCTATCATTCCTTCACAAACATGTTAAATAACTGCAAATGAGGTACCCTCAAACAACACTGCATAATTCTTATGTAATGCTTATTGGTGATAATTTTCATTTCAAGTTGATCTTTTCCTAGTTTGTTGATGTATCATTCCGAATTGAATATATTCAATTCAACCTGGTTTTTATTACTCGGAACTGCTTCAATATGGTGAACTAATATTTGCACATCTCTACCCATAACTCATAGCTGTTCATACTGCAATTACAAATGATCCTAAAAAAGCCCTTACCGCTCGACAGGCTCAATGACCATGCTTGGTGTGTCTTGCTCACCAGTTTCAACAACAGCTTGTAATGTGCCCTGAAAGCAAGGGAACGAACAATAATGCAACTTTTACATGATACAAATAAGGGGAGGACAACCAGCACATTAACCATTTCACTACTGTCGATTAGCATGTATCTGTCATGAGACTTGGTAACGAAATGAGCCATGATGACTGCACTTTTTATCAGCAGACGTTAGTCTGCAATTGAACTTATTATAATAAGGCTATATTCATGATACTTTTGTTCCCTGATGCCAGATGGCTACAACTGTTTATGTTGGGCTGTTTAGGTCTCGTTTTTCATTTTTGAGAAATCCCATATATTGGTTTCATTGAAGTCACTTTTAAGGTATTACTTTCATGCCAATAGTGAAGTAAACGAACCCCACTGAGTTGAAACAGTGGCACCATTTCAATAAAAAACAAATTATTAATATTTCCACAAACTCAGCAAAGAGGATATTTTTTGTTTTCTTCTTTTCATATGTTTGCAGAAGGGGCAAATAAATTTCTTATATCTGCAATCCATGGCCTCTCACAAGACTGAAGGCATTTGCTTGAGAACCATTTTTCAACCAGGAGGTCAGAAAATCGTAATCACTAATGCGTTAGTATACGCATTTCTGCAAACTGGCCTGGTTCTTGCAAAATACCTTCTGCCACCTTGCGGATCTCCAAAGAACTCATTTACAATACCTCATTGACATTTCAGAAAGCTAACAAGACCCGCATACAAGTAAAGATCCATACTATGGGCTATAAACAACATTTTTATGTCTCATTAGGCACCCTAATAAACTCCGCTGCACTGCATTGGCAGTGTTGTTCAATGGTACTTCGCTAGCTGTTGGTGAGTAGTGAGTAATAACATAGCAAGGGCAACTTAATAAGCTGTATTTCGTAAAGTTGCAGTGTTACGATAATTGAGAGCTCCATCTTTTATTACTTTGGTCAGTAAATGTACTAGATATTGTTTATAGCATGGAGATATTTAAATACACGCCAGTCTTTCACAACACATTCTAGAAACTGTAAACCTATTGCTATAGCTCACACTGCCATCATTTATTATATTACTGTAAGCCCTCGCGGGCAGTTTCAGGGGTGGGAATGCACGATATACAATATTGAGATACAATGCATAGCATAGAGGGCAGCGGCAAGTTGGTATTCATACATTGCAATGACGAGGTGGTAGGTATTTTACAATAATAACGGCAGAGCTGGTTTAAGCTTTTCATTGCACCTGGTAGTGCAAGCAAAAAAATCGGCATTTCCATGAACTGGTACACGCTCTCTCGTACTATTTATGCACTGTGCACAAGAAAACTGCAATGAAACTTTTCCCCTGTCTAAGAATAAACCTCTGGCGCAGACACTTTGCCATTTCTTTTTGCAGAGAAGTGAAATGTTTTTTTTAGCCTTTTTATATTTTCAGAACGGAAAATATCAGGACCACCCATCTTAGACAAATGATAAGCTGTCTACTTGGGTATTTTAAGATGTTTGCAGACTTTTTACGACCAGATTCTGCTTTGGCGCATCATTCCATTTAAGTTTCACCATTTCCGCTCCACGGGTCATTTCGGTATTATGCTGTGCTTCGTGCCGGCCAGGTGCGATTACTTATGATTTCCCACTAGAACTTTGATATATACGGCACTAAAGCCCAAAATTAACATGCTAATTGAACAGTTTTAAATTTGTCACGTGGTCGTCATTTTAGCTGCAGAAAGTTATTTTCGCTTCGCCATCGAGTTTGTGCGAAAACGACAGGAACCAGCGTATCATAGACTTTTTATTTTAAAAAAACTGCAATGGTTAAAAAAAGGCACCCTCCTAAAATTGCGTGAGTGCACGCAAGTTTGTGTCGCACGCAAAAAAAAAAACATAACCAGGGCCTTGCATGCCAGCGTGCGAAAAGCGCAGATAATAAAACAATTTCGTCAATACAATTTTTTTAATTTAAATAATACTTCAAATATAATACTTCAAAATTTATTAATTCATTCCCTGCTATTCCACAACACCGATTTCACCCGCACCTTCCACGAAGAAACACTGCGCTTGACTCAAGTCCCCCTGCTTTGCTGCTCACAATCACACTTCCTCTTTCACCCACAGCATACGTGTCCCTAGCGGTAAGTAATATTCCAACAAAATGTACTCAAATCAACATAAGCCGGTAAAACTTAAAAAGCAGCTAGATCGTAACATCCGCAAAGGATTTGTACCATATTCGATAACTAATCTAGAGAAGAGCATCAGGCGTTAGGACTTAACATCGGACTTCTAGAATGACATCAGCTGATAACAAACTCAGACATTTCGTGCCGTTTTGCTCTCGCTGCCAAAAATCGCTCGCGCCAACAGTTGCAACTGATCATCAAAAATAAATAACTGATAATTTAAATATTTATAAAAGAGCATTTAATCTTAATAATATTAAACAATAAGAACGTAAAACTCAGAAAATTTACCTGTGACGATGAACATGACGGCGCTTCATTCCCGCTACTTTCTTGCTGTGCCATAAGAACGATTTTCGACATATCGGGTATGCTGTCTTCAGTAGCGAGGTCGACAAGTTCATTGAACAGAGGATCCATTACCTGCAAACCAACCCCGTATATTGTCAATGAACTGAAAAAGATGTATGAGGGTTTGTTTGTTCGCTACTGTGTGTTCCTAGATCGCGAAGACACGGCTCAGCTGCCAGCACGCATGGCCTGTTGGAGACACGGCCTCCGGAATGCCTTGCACACACACACACACACACACACACACACACACACACACACACACACACACACACACACACACACACACACACGCACACACACACACGCACGCACACACACACACACACACACACACACACACACGCGCACACAAACACGCACGCAGGTACGCATAGGCATCTTTACTCGAAATAAATTTTCGACTAATCCCCTCACTATGCAATTCTCCTCACGTACACTTGAGACAACTCCACAACTCGCATCATACACGCTATATATGTTAATTCAACAATACAAAACACTCGAGAGCGCTCCAACTTACAATACACTCTAGATCGACGATAACACAGGTTTGTGTACGATAAGAACAAAAGTGACATTCTTGAAAATATTAAAGCAAGCGCCTCACTACGTTCTCATGCTTTATTTGTGCATTCTATGAAAAGTGGTGTGCGCTGCCAACCGTTCAAAATCAACGAACTTTGTTGAAGCGAGTGTAGTTCAGCCGCATGCTCAGCGAACTAAGTTCAAAAGTGCACGGCGAACTCGTTCGGCCACATCGCAGCCGATGTTATCTCGAGTATCAACACGTTTTTTTTTTTGTTGTTGTGGTGTGTGGGAGGGGTGAGTTAAATTACATCAAAGAGAGGTTAATGCGGTCAGAACGTGAACACAAGGCTTGCGACCATTGACAAGCCTTCAGTGAGGCCTAGCTACGATGTCGATACGCGAAACATGTAGTTGCCTTTCGACATACTGTCAATTCGGGCACGCGTACACATGTATGAGGCAGACAATAAAAACGCATGAGTTGTAAAATAATACAAAAACTTGCACGCTTAGTTTTCCTCTTAGCAACACTGTTTCGGCAAACCGGACCCCACTAACAATAGAACAGAAGCGCACATCCCCAGCCTTTAAATACGAAACTACGCAAACTCGCAGCAAAAAAAAAAAAAAAAAAACGGGCCTCAGCTTTCAACGACGATTAAAAGCACTTATCGCTCTCAACAAATACACAGTTGAACAAATAAGCAGCCACTTACCTGAAATTTGCTGCAAGACAGTTGAACTTGCGACCCAAGGACAGGACATGTGGCAATCGCATGTTTGAGGGTGACCACGGAACCTTCTTCCAAGTAGTACGTCCGCTTTATCTGAATGTGCGGTACAGTCAGCAGACAACGGATCGGCGGCATCTCGGATGACGCAGCGCACAAAATTGACGTTCCAAAGTCCTCAGCGCGAGTGAAGAAAATACACGCCAAATACTATTCAAACGCTTCAGCACTCTGTGAACGGCGCAGATAGTCACGTTTTCAACGGCGCAGTTATCAAAATGGCGCGCACTCACGAGTACTGACGGAGGAGTGAAAGCTTGCGGGTGTGGAAAGAGATGCCGAGAAAGTGCGGAAGCATCACACCTTCTATATGCAATGGTATCTCCCTCCGCGCTCGCTTCTCTACGTTGAATTTGAGGGGGCGGAGAGGGACAGGGGGTAAACCATGCTTACATGGACACGACCTCTCTGACGCGTTTGCTGCTGGAGTCGTCACTTGCAAGCGAACGTAACCTTCCAAAGACGCTGCCACTCTTTCTCTCTCGTCTCCTTACATCTTTCATCCCCTCTTCCCGAAGGCGCTGTGCCCTGCCACGGCCGCCGGAGAAAGAAGTAAAAAAGAAGGGCCAGCAGCCGTCGTCGTGCTAACAGCGCTCCCGAAAGGAAGTGGTAATGGCGGCGTCTCCTTCTTGATCAAGCACATCCTATATTCGAGTAGCGCGTGAGAACGGCGTGCTCTCGTCGTGGCTGTTGAATTTGAGCCTTTTGAACTTTCCGGAATGTCGTTTGAGTGTCGTTTGTAGAAAAATTATTTCAAAAGTACCTCTCCTTCTTTCGATACCAAATTTGTTCCACATGTAAATATAAAAATATTTACACACATGTTGAACCTTTGCGAGTGTGTGTTCATTTTTTGTGCATTTTCTTGATTGTTCTTGTACAGTTTTCTGCGAAGCAAAAAGTGTATATCATGATCTTTTCATATGAAAATAAAGATATTACAAAAAATAACGTTGTGACAATGGCTTTATAAAGGATTTCCTTGTTTGTGTGGTGTCGATGACACCATAATCTTAAAAAATGCAGTACAACATACACTTTGCTCCACTCAAGTCTTTTTAATATGTAAGCATGGATGCATTTAATACTCGTGCCACACGGGCAGAAAAAATGGCATTTATCTCCTATAATGCTTTCAGATTGAAGGCCATTCGCGTGGTGCCACATCACGGATGAACGAAATCGCAATCGCCCAAATGCCGTTCGTCCTCTAATGTCATCGCCAGGACTCATTTGATTGAGAAATATAAAACGACATTTGATTCGACTAGAAGGAAACTTTTCGCGTATCTTATTTACACCAATCACTCAAACAACTGCTTAAAACTTCTCTTCAGCTGGTATATATGCAATGTAAAATAAATGCGCCAGGCGCCATTTCCTTTTTATGCTGTGGATCTGACTAGCTTTGGCTTAAGTTGCCATGGTTGGTTGCAACGTCGTGAAACAAACTAATGAACGAAAGCTAACGGCAGTGTAATATGCTTATTTATTCTTTCAATTATCATTGGATGTGTATGAAGCTTGTAAACGCTTGTTTATTTTTTATTGCTATATATACTCACCCAATGCTCACTAGGAAGGTGGTGCGATCGAAATCATCAAGTCAAATGTCATTCGCTTTGGACATAAAAGCAACGCCGAGAAAAAATGTCATTCGGGAACTGAGTGCACGTGTCTTCGCTATATATACCGAATGTCATTTTCTGTGCCCGTGTGGCACGGGTACACCCTTAAGTCCTTCCCTTAACACCCTTCATCTTGTTCAACAACACCCTTTTTGCCTGTACACCCTTCTTGTAGGGTGTTCCGAAAGAAAAAAGGGTGTGAAATTTTGAAAAAAGGATGTAAATTGCGATAACACCCTTTTTACACCTATAAGGGTGTAAAAATTTTTACTGTGTATGCGCAAAAGAATAACAGTTTTCGTGGCTGGAGCTCAGAAACATCGCAATAAAGTTTCGAACTGCACCTTGAAAATTAGGATCTCGTAAAAGTAAACAATTACAAACCACCACAGGAGGTAAACACATCACCTTGCTAGAAAAAAACGCTAGGCTTGTGCGGAAGGCGCCACACAGTCGCAGCGAAAGCACAGCAAAAGCTAGAAGAGCGCCCTTTCAGAGCCTTTTAAAACACTCATTGGGTAACTACTGCAAGCACACATGCTTGATACCCACTAGGGCAGTAATAAAATTTTCGGGGTAGTAAGCTGGCATTCGCTATGCTATTTTCACCATTCTTCTGAGAAGCGTGGTATCCGCTGAACACTTGCTAGGAATTTCGTGCCAATTGTTGATGCAGTGGCTGACGATGATGAGGAATCATGGCTGAATTTGGTATACGTGCCACATATAACAGGGGAACAAGAACGAGCTTTTGTATTGGGTTGGAGCATTGGACGACCCACTCGTTACGCTATTCGCATTGTGCGACGAATGGATGTTATTTACCTGTTTTAAAATGCTTTATAAGTCGTATTAACGCGATCGCTTTCCCGGCATAAAGCCTACCTAAGGCAAGTTTGCGGGCAAGTTCCAAGCACCGAAGTAGCTCAGTGGTGTAATACTGGGCTGGCACCCAGCTGACCGGGGCTCGAGTGCCACTGTGACATTGGTGCTAGATTTTTTTCTTATTTTGCGCGATGTTCTTACGGACACCGGCGGCGGCGGCGGCGGCTGACAACTGCGTGTGGCACGAGCTGTGATCTCATAACTGCTTTCGCTCTAAAACAGCTCCGGATCACACCTTCTTGTGTAGCTGTACAGAGAAATAGGCGGTAAACACGGAATACACAAACATCTTCAAAGACTCTCGATATAGACAGATACTCATCTTAAGTGAGAAAATACCGTGATAAGTCACGCAGACTTTCTCAGTAATATTTCAAATGCCTATTCAGTTAAGCCCACTATTCTGGTTAATTGCTGGCCTATTAAAAAAAACCTCCACAGCATGAATGGTGGATTCCACCATCCACTATTTTTGGTGGATTATAGTTCAGGCAATATTAATGGCATATGGTGTATGGTGGCGTATGGTGGATCCTGGAGTGCCAGCAATGCAGGAGCGTGAAACAGCGTCAAAACCACCATAACAAGCAGCCACTAAAAATAAATAAACAATAATTGCATAGAAACCACCCATAAATAGATAGAAAAGCACGCGACTTCGTGGATGTGAACGTGCATCCACTGGATCACTAATAGAACACCACTGCGCCATGCCGACATATGGAAATTCACCGCTAAATGACTTGTGAACTTCCGAACTGACCATCCAACTACAGTTTTGTTTGTCGGGTACTCGAGATAGACGGGATCTGCACCTGCTACTAAAACTTTGCACATTTATAAACACAAAAATGGTGAAAGTAGCAACAGCTTCATGTTTTTGTTACAGTTCACAACCCGAAGGAAATATAAATAAAGGGGACTGAAGAGCAGACACAGTTAATGGGCGGTTACTGTCAAGTTATCCGGTTCCCGCTCGTTCTAAACAGCTACATCTCTCCAGGCTTTAACGCACCTTTAGGCTCATTCCATGTAAACGCCGACACATTTGATTGAGTATTAAAATATTTTTCGTGCAATATAAGGTGCAGTCGTGCCAACGCACTGCTGTGGCTCTATCGTTAGCAACAACCACATAACGGCTTGACCAAAACGAATGCATTGCGCCGGAAACGGTATCTAATTGTATGCGTTCAGTAAGCATACGAATGGACAAGTCGATGTTCACGCGTAAGAGCCAGAGCAGTGCTGGCGAGTGCGATTGCCGCTTGTCGGTGAGGGGAGGCGTACCTGCTGGAAGTAGTACTGGAACCGCATCGCATCGACGTTTGTCGCTTCTTGCGCGGACATCGTGCACAATTAAAACGCTTCATTTAGGTTGCACGGCTTTGCTGTATTGGCATTTTTACTCGTATAAATAGTGTATTCTGAAATCCAGAAGCATCGATGACACTTCTACGGGCTTGGACGGTAGGCTTAACCTTTGGTGGAAACCATGGTGGTAGAACAGTAGCGTGAGTCACACTCGCTGTACTCGTCTCGACGCATAACGAAGGTAAACATTTAGGCATTTTACTGTCGCCCGCAATTCGTTACCTTTAATGTGCGGCTCAAGTAATTGAGTGCTCAAGAAATGCCACAGTTGCATTTCTATAGCGTGGCGACATCCGGTGACCATTGTGTGCTCGTCTACAGTTGAAAGGGCAATGACAAACTGGAGCGCATTTATTTCTCGACAACTGTGTCGAGGATATAACACATTTGTGGTCGCTGTTGACAGTGACGCAACATCACAACAACGCAGCACATCGCACATGTCAAACGTTGTAAGTACGAGCACAAAATATCAACATTCAAGGCCGCATTCCACGCTCCACAAACTTTGAAGCGCTGTTGACACCACAGGAATAAAAAAATGTGCTAAAAATGAGCAGCGTTGGTTTCTTTTAACCATAAAGATATTTTGCAGAGCATTCTAGAGTGGAACACAGAAAATAAGTTACTTCACATACTGCCATCTGCTTTTTCATCGTGCCTCCATCCTCCACTAAATTTCTATCACGCCACCATCATCCAGTTTGTTCACCAAGCTATCCACCAAACACGTTTTTAATCGCCGCCATAAGCCGGCATTTTCCACTGTCATCACAATTTGCTCGCCATGACCACCAACACCTGCCACCATTTTTTCCCTCTTGCCATCATCAGTCATTATGACCACTAAAGCTTCCACCATATACCCTAATATTTCCAACATATTCAGTATTCTTTAAAACATATCCGCCAACGATCCCAGTATCCAGCAACCCAGGATTTTCAATAGGATAAAACTTACAAGCCCTGCTGTAGTCGAAGTACAAACAAACATACTGCACGAAATGACTTTGAAGACCATTCAGTAGAATTAGCCGATGTCTAGGAAGGAGTAAACTGCTGTGCGATATAGGCATGTTTATCCGGAGTATTATCTTGGTGTG